CTAGAAGTGCTTTGCAATTAAAGTCAAGCTAAGATATATAGCACTAAGAGCAAACCTAAAGAGGTTTCTAACTTTGACCCAAAATACAAACTATGAATAAACTTGAAACAAAAACGCACCCCCAAGCTTGTTTAATCGCTAGGGTGGTGGCTATTCATCACTTCTTTCCTTTTTTTTTTCTCTTTTTTTTTTTTTTTTTTTTTCAAACTTGGGCATTTACATCACAAACTATTACTTATAACAACTTAAAGATTGAACTAAGGAAACAAGAATGACATGCCTTAACTTTGTGCGAATGAACAATACATAACAACTTCATATTAATAAGAGTAGTTTAGGCCGCGATCTTGGGAGTCAGGACTCAAGTTCTCGATCTAGGTACTAAATCAAAGAGGATCCTTGCCACTCCTTCAAAATGTAGTAGGCTTGAAAAAAAAAATATTACAACCTCACTTTTGGGAACAATGTGGGATCAATTACTACCTTTCGGGGTTCAAATTCCTTTGATATGGGCGACTCCATCTTACCAAAAACCTAGACTTTAAGTTTCGCACATTCGGGAAAGTTATTCTCACACTAGCCTAAACTAACCAATTCTATGTTCCACCAAGGGCATCTAAACCATGCTCGAAATTTTATTACGAAAAGAAAACAAACATCCACCACATACAATTCAATATCATCATTGCAAACCGATCAAAGGCAAACAAAATCTCTCTTTTTTTTTTTTTTTTTTTTTTTTTTGGAAAAAGGTTGAAAATGGGGGAAAGAGAAACTAATTAAAGAATTTGGATTTTAGGGATTTGGATATTAGGGAATTTGGATGTTAGAGGGGTTAGAGGATAAGAAAAAGAAATTTGGATATTAAGGGAAATCATCATCAAAATTCATCATCAAGCAAGACCAAGAACAATGCCAATCAACCATGATACCAACCAACAATCAAACCAACCAAAGCATGATCATATCAAAGCCATAGATAAGATGCTCCAAATAGCACACACATACAGAGAAGTGAGACAAAAACATCAATATGCAATTGTTCTAGCCTAGGCATGCCATAAAAACGTGAAAAGGGTAACAACCAACCTAAAATAGGCATGCAAACTAGAACATAATACCTTATGAGTCCTACCACAAGTCCCAAAGGCTAGACTAAGCCTTTCATGCCAAACATTCCACATACAATCTCAAATTTCTCCATACATAGCACAAAAGGCATCACAAGAAAGCACATTTCCTACCAAAACCGAAAACTACCCTAGACACAAAGACCCCAAGACTTCCCCCCAAGCTAGACATTTGATTACCGTTCCCACGATAGATGGACACAATGAGAAACATCTCCCCCCAAGCTAGAACTCGACACCGGCCTCGGTGTTACACATGATGGGAAAAGAAGAGAAGGGAACGGTAAAAACAAATGTCTAAAGGCTACTCCCGATCATCCTCCCTAGGCGGTGATGGCATGTAGTTATAGTTGAGGTCTACATCGCCGGAAAAGGAAGGTTGATCCACGTATGGAGGAAGATCATAGTTGGGGCTACTACGATAGTGACCGTAGTCCGGTGCATTACTAGTGCCCCACCCACCATCATACCCGGGTGGAAACCCGAAGTATCCCCTTAAGGGGTGGTTATCGATTTCCTCGGGAGTCATATTACCACATGTCTCGGGGACGTGGTAATAAGAAGGGTCCCCCCTAAAATCACAACCCTCGGGTTGTGTATAATCGTAGGGAGGGAAGGATCGTAGCTCCGAAACGGAGTTACGAGGTCCTTGCCAATAAGAGTAGGTGGGTTGGTTGTTGTTCCAACCCGCAACCGGCCCCTCTTGAACGGGGAGGTTAGGATAGTTGACATAGGGGAGAAAGTCTCCCCTCTCAACTTGGCTTTGATATGTCATTTGAGACACATAACTTTGATATTCATTTTCTTGGAGGATTCTTTGGTTGGAAAGATTTAGGCGGTGAAAAGCCGATTCAAGGTCGAAGGAGGAAGAAGAAGAAGAAGAGGAGCCGCCGAAAAACCTAGGAGCGGTAGAAATACTATGGCGACGAGGTTGAGATGGTTGGTCAGGGTTGGGAACATTCGCGGGGAGTGGCTCAATTGGCACTTGCCAAGTGTTCCCCACGGTGTTCATTACCGCCGCATTAGGGAGAAAGCAACGATGCTTACCCTTGACCAGCCAAGAGTATGTGGTGACATTCCCACGGATCTCCACAAGCATTTGCATTGAGGCAAGTCCGGCAAGGTCAAGGACATTGGACCCGTTCACCGGGGTTAATTGCTCAACCCAATTAGCGAAACCCAAAGCCTTGGCAATTATTGTGATCATGCCACCACATTTTATCTCCCCTCTGAACTCCGTACTCCTCTTAATCTCAAGGCACCTTTGGATAAACAAGTATCCCATGTTCACATTACCCTCAAGGTCCCCCTCAAATCGGGAAGCTATAAAGAGGCATTTGATCTCCTCTTTTGTTAGCTTCCTGAGATCTTGTTTCGAGAAACAAGCGTACCCCATAATTCTCATGAATATACGGAGTACGGGGTGGACAATGTGGCTAGCGTGGCTAGACCGGGTGGTGAAATTAGGATACTCCGCGATAGTATTCCACCAATTTTGCTCTTCGTAGCTAGAAAGGTAGAAACTATCGGGGTTGTCTATTTGATTATACACGGGCCACTCAAATATTTCATTGAGGCGAGTTAAGGTTAGAGTCTTTTCTTGATTGAAAAGTCTAAACTTAATTTCGCACTCAAGAGGCTCTCCCTCACCATTGATTCGGCGCATGGTTAAGGTTGAAAGGAACTCGAGAGTGATCGATTCGTAGGTTAGCTCCCTCTTCTTGAGGTAGTTTAACCATCCGAAATTATCGGCCACTCGCCGAATTCCTTCATCTATCCCTAAAAGATGGCAAGTTGATTGGTCGTAAAATCTTGTTGGAAGGATTTTTCGTTTTGAAAGCTCAGAGTGATACTTTTTAAATTTTTCGGGGATTCTAATGGGAGGAGGAACATTGTCTTGGTTTTGAGTTTGGGTTTGGTTTTCGGATATTTGGATGCTGGAAGTCTTTCTTTTCTTTCCTCCCGCACCTCCAAATAATCTTAGCACCATCTTGACAAATTTGGAAAAAGGAGTAAAGAGGGTTCACTCAAAACTCCTCACACAAACACCAAAATTCAATAAACACAACCTCCTTAACTTCAAATCCCCCAAATCAATCCAAGGTACCTGCTCACAATTCAATAATAATTCCACACAACCAACCAACAATCTTAACACAACAATTCTCACACAAAAATTCACAAATCCACAAATTATAATTAATTTTTCATGCACAAGCCATTCCCTTACTCCACAATTATCCACAAAAATCAACAATTTAATTATCAAAGGCAAGAAAATTTGTTTAAATCACCTAATCATGCAACTAATTACACAACAATCATGAAATAAACAAATTGAGAGAAATATTGAAGAAAAACCCTTAGGTTTAAGAGGGAAAGTGAAGTAAGGAAGAAAATTATACCACTTAGAGTATGAAAATACTCTAAAATCCTCCAATTTACCCAAATTCCTCCTTTTTCAACATCGAAGTCTGGGGCCATATAGGTGTCAACATCGAAGTCGTCACCACTGTCTTGGTCTGTATAGACCTCAACTCCGTCCGTAGGCCGCTTTTCGTTAGCAGGCGGTACAAATTCATTGGAAGCCATCTTAGAAGTACTCTCCCCAAAGACGGCGCCAAATGTTTCGAGGTATTCCGTGTCCCTCGGGAGAGTTACAATTCCAAGACTAGATTCTGAGGGCCTGTACCTGCAAAACAACAGAGACTCTGGTTGGGTTGAGTTCTGCCTCCGACGATCAAGTTAGAACGTGTACGGACGAAGTGAAAAGTGCGAAAAGTAAAGTGTTTTCTCGGATTCCGAGAGAATATCTACAATTAATGATTGCTCTGTTTTGTGAATATTTCTAAATGAATTCCCAGGTGGGAATATCTCCCTATTTATAGGGTCTTGGAATGCGTGCTGCTATCCTAGGTTACGAAAACTAAGAAATGGTGGGCTTTCTCGGGAATTGGGCCAGGAAGGGCGCCTTTTTCCCAATGATTTGGAGATGTCACGTGTTGTTAGAGGATTGGTTCACATTTAACCTCTTTTTAGGTGACACGTGTCACCATTTTATTGGGCCACGTGTCATGGGTATTTTTGCACAAAACAACAGTTATTTGCAACGATGGGACACTTTTCCTCTCTACTTTATGTCAAATCGTTGTAAATAACTGTTGACGGAGGTAGTATATCTTAACATACTACCTCCGTTTTTTTAGTTGACACGTTTTGACTTTAGTACTATTCACACACTTGTCTTTGACCGTGTTTTGTGATTTATATGTAATAAAAAAATATAGATATGTGGGATCTTGTTATATTCGTGACGATATATAGTTTCATAATATCGACTTTTCATAATTTTTGCTTATCGGTAATTAAAGATATTAATAGTTGAATTTGTACATTGACAAACGTGACCAAGAAAACATGCCAACTAAAAAAAAACGGAAGAAATATTTAGTAGTTTTTCTCGTCTTTATTTTTAGTGGAATAAAAACTAGGTAGCTAGCTTAGGCTCTAACATAACATAAACCTCACTGATCATTTTGAATGATGGAACAAAAAACAAACCATTACATCAAAGAGTAAAACAACGAAGTATGAAGTGGTAAATAAGTTGTGATATGCCCGTCAAAAAAAAAAAAAAAAAAAAAGGTTGTGATATGGTTGGCCGAGATATCGGTCGCCTAATTTGCCTCTTGAAAGGGAAAAACATTAAATCGTCTTATATTTGAGAAGCTAATTTGCCTCTTGCAAGAGGAAAACATTAAATCGTCTTAAATTGGAGAAGCTATTTTCATTGATAATTAGTTAGGAATAATAATAATATCTAATAAAAATTGAACATGAGTATTTACAAAAAGCTTTTTTATAATCATATACAGATAAACACAAACCTTGTACCAATAAGATCACAAGTCAAAACATTCATATGCACCATGCATGCACACAAAACTCAACAAACTTATAAAATCGTACATGATTTGTAGTAGGTGTCCATACATAAACTTATAAAATCGTACCTTTTTTTAAAATCTACCTATAATATTTATATGGCTTATTACCATATAATATAAACATTATATTTTGTCATAATAACCTAATATTACACTAAGCTACATATTAGTTAAACTGATCACTATTGTACCAATAATGCAAGGTAGGAGCTTGATCAACCGAAAAAAAATTGCCTGAAATGTCATTGTTCATATTATGGACACCCAGTTCTTCCATCTTTATTATTTGGTCTTGATAAGCTTTGCATAACTGAAGTCCATCCAATGATAACGTCGTTGCAGTCACCGTCGATGATGACATATCATATGGATCCAACGTCCTACAAGAAGGGGTTGGAGATGCTTGTAATGGGACATTCATACAAGTGCCTTCATTCATGATATTGGTCGAATTTATCGTGATTGGATTTGAAAGAGTATTAGTAGTAGTCATCTCAGAGTTTCTTGATTCAATCTTCGATCTCAAGTCATTAAGCTGCAAGAAATAAGTAGAAACTTGAACTATTGTACTTTCATGCATTATATATAGGATAATTATAGTACAACAATGATATATCAATAATAGCTAATTTAAACTTACAATGATCGACTATTAATTAGTTAACTGGCACCTATAACTAATAGACAAACTCTTACTTAAAATAAGTGAAGACGATTAGTATGACATCAAAAAAAGAGGGTAGCTAATTTATTATGTTATATTAACCGTTATTGACCCTTATTAAATTCATGTGAACCTTTTTTTTTTTTAATTTTACATCATCTTTAGGTTAGGAAGCTGCCTAAGGTAGATAAGAATCAAACTATCAAACCTTGTTATTACAAAGCGATACTCTCAACCACACGAGTATCTATTGATTGATTGGATTGTAGATCGATGTTCCTCCTAATCTACTATTCATGCCAAAGTACAATGGTGTCAAAGCAAAGCTAAGGCTCGACCAATATTTCTCATGGTAGACGGTAATCGCTATAAAGTCATGAATGAGCGAGGATCACCAATTTCTCATGGGCATTAATTAGAAAAGGATGTTTATTTTGACTTGGTGATAATAATGAATTTATGTTCATTGTTAAGTAGCGACAAACCATATATATTTTCTCATGGAAAATTCTATTTGTCCTTTAAAATAACCTTTCTTCTTGTGACAACTAATACGTTATCTTTTCCAAAATGTGTGCTTTGAGTTACATTTGATAGTACATATATATTTATCCCAAGTCTTAAGTAGTGAATATTAAATCGTAGCTTGACATGCTAGTTTGAGGAATGTACGTATTGTAATTTACTCATATTTTGCTATAATTAAAATGAAGGAAGATTAGATAACCTCCTACTCTGCGCTAATTACATATCTAAATATAAGACATGTGTTTTTAATTTAGCTCATAAGATGTACTCGTACGTATTACTATTACCCAAGCTCTTGCCACTTCATTATCATGACGTCACTGTACCACAACATACAAAGAAGTATATAATTGATTATCCACACTAAAAATGGTATTGTCCACTTGGCTCGAGTTGCTATGATTAGAATGTAGAAACACATACCATACTAATATCTAACTAATATGCAATGTCAATTTTGCGTATAATTATTGACTGGCTAGGGTGGCTCATGATTCAACTAATAAATCCGCTATCAGTCAGTTCGCGGTTCTATTGGTTTTGTTGAACCAACTTAGCCACTAGTCCCTCTAGCATAAGATATAGGCTTTCTTGCCCAAATTTTAACCATTAGACTAGGCCCATTATAGTGTTCCTGATCTTATTGTCATTTTTTTCGTGACATATATAAAACATGTACCTGGCCAAGTAGATCAACCTTTTCTTGCTCAAGGGAACCATAATCATGCTTAAGAGCATCATAACTAGCGCGAAGATCACCATACTCCCTCTCCAATTGCTTAGCCCTCCATCGAGCTCGACGATTTTGGAACCAAATGGCTACCTGCCTTGGCTCAAGCCCTACTTCTTCAGCTATCTTCACTTTCCTTTCCGGTTGTAACTTGTTTTCCACTTCAAAATGCTTCTCTAAAGCCTTAACTTTTTCTAAGCATAATCTGCTCTTTTTCATCAATTGTCGACTTGTATCTGCATTGTCTTCCTCCTCTAATCTTTCTAACATTGCTTGGAAATCTTCACTGTATAATGCCTTCTTCTTATCACCTATATTTTCCACAATTTATCAATTTAATTAATAAAAAATTGTTGAAACTAATTAGAATAATTAAGATAAACCTTAATTAATCACGTCGTGTTTCCATAAATTTGTGCACGTCTACAATATTTCTTAAGATACTAGCTATATTTCCAATATTTTGTCAAAATCAAATACGTAGTATAATGTTTTAATTTGTAAATGTAACATGACATGGTCGTTATCCGACAAATTTGGGGTGAAAGAGATAATGGAATGACTTGTTTATTATTCATCAATTAGTAGATTAAAACCTACGCTCATAAGTTAGGAAACAATCTTCCTAAAACATATACTAACATAACCATAAACCTATAAATATATTCTCCAACTAATATTTTTAATATAAATAAACCTAAATATATTGTTCTCTTAATGACATCGACGGAAAATATATCACACATATATTTTCCGATATCTCATATCTCTAACATTATTGGATTTCAAAATAAAATTAATTAGTTTAGAGGGCTAGCACAAAAATAAATACTACATACAATTATGTGTTATTAGATAATTAGTGTGATGACGTATAACAAACTTGGGAGATATGTCTAAGATTTTGATAAATGAATTAAAAAAAAAAAGGAAAATTTGTCATAAAGAACCTTTTAAATTTTTTTTTGTAACTTCAGACCACATTATAATTTTTTTATGTCAAAGGCAACCTAATGCTACTTTTCAGCGTTGACTCTATTTTTTCCGGTGTTGACCACGAGTGTGCGAGGCATGTGTCCTCTTATATTGCTTAATACACCCCTTTTCCCTCCAATTAACTCTTATTAAAACCCTTGCTTCTCTCTCATTCCTCTTTTTCGATCAACAGGAAAAAAAATTCTAGGGTAAATTCCTCTAAAGCTATCTGAATCTTGGATTTCAAGTTTTCAACCAAGCAATTCATCAATTTCGAACCAGGTATCGTGGTTGCTATTGTTTAATTGTTTGTTTCTTTTTATGTTATTCGTGTTTTTGAAAATTAGGGTTTTTTCCCCCAAATTTTTGAAATTGAACTAATTGACAAAGGATTTGTCAATTAAGCAGCATTCATGGTTTATCTAAAGGATATTAAGTTTGAACCTTTAAACTAAATTACATAAATGAATTCTTATTGTATGTGGGAATGAACTCTTCATTAATGGAAGTAGCAGCAGTAGAGAAGAATTGCATAGGGTATTGATGGTGAACTGTGATTTTTGTCTCCAAAATTGAATGAGAGTGAAGTAGAGGTTTTAATTAGAGTTAATTGGAGGAAAAAGGGGTATATTAAGCAATATAAGAGGGCACGTGACTTGTACACTCGTGGTCAACACCGGAAAAAATAGAGTCAATGCCGAAAAGTAGCATTAGGTTGTCTTTGACAAAAAAAATTTATAATGTGGTCTGAAGTTACAAAAAAAAAATTAAAGTTTGTTTTAAATAAAGTGGACACTTTAAAAGGTTGTTTCTGACAAATTTTCCGAATAAAAAAAATAAATAACCATGAATATAATATTTTGTAAAGCTTAAAAAAAACCATTAGGCAATTATATATTACAATTACACTTCCTCATCCTCCATACATATTAAAGTAAATAGTCACATCGATAGGATCAATTAATAAACAAGTATAATGTGACAAATATATAATCACGGGCCAAGGGATTGTGTAGTCGATTTCAAAATTGTTCTTTTTGAAACGAAAGGAGCAAAGTTTGGAAATGTTAGATTGAAGAGGAATGAGGAAATAACAAAAGAAAAACACAGCTTAGTACCTTTTTTAGCAGACATTGATGCTAGCTTAGTGTAGTTAAGTCCTCCTTCAATAATACCACGCACACCTGAATTATTAATCTCTTTATTTAATGATGATAATAGCTAATTAATAACTAATCATCAAACTTTCTGAACCCCTTTTTTTTTTTTTTTTTTGAGGATAATTTGAAGTGGGAGAAAATTGGGAGTAATATTGAAAAAGAATATTGTACAAAAAAAATAGGTTATGATCAATTATAAATAGGCAATAATTTTCAACTAAGGAAGCACAAGTTGTGAAAGAATTTGTGTTGTTGCTTGTTAGCTGTTAAAATGAAAACCAAAGTAACAAAAAAGCTTAATATATAGCCAAAGTTTTTTTTTGATGTTGAGTGAAAGGAAGAAATACCACCTTTAAGGCTTTAACCTTTTATGAACAATGATTGTGTCTTTTTTTTTTTCGGCCACTTTACTTTTATGTTTTTCTTTTATATACTTTTTCTTATCTTGTGTTGTGAATAGTATGGTATATCCAATTGAATTTAATGGGTCTTGTTTTCACACTAATATGTGTAAGAGTGTACGATATGTAACTACGATTTTTATATATACTATCATGTTATAAATATGGTATATGCATAATAAATGTATTGTTACGGCTCGGTCTAATGTCACCTTTTACGAGACTGATTGATCTTATCGTAATTTGTTAGGTTTAAGTTTGAGAGAAGAATGAAATACTTAACCTTTTTTTTTTTCTTTTAACATTTTTATAACACAAGAAAAAATAAGTCAATGTAATCCTAATCGTCTATAATCCATGTATGAAGTTGGATCAGAAAATTGAAAGCAAGCTCAATAACAAATTAACAATATTATTGAATGTGGTTTTGGAGGCCATTATTGAAATGAAAAAAAAAAAGTGAATAATCTACAAGCTTGGCGCAAGGAGTGCCAAATATAGAAAGCCTTTGGGCTTACTTTTTTTTTTTCTTAAGATAAAAAATTGTGATGAATTGCTTACTACTCCGATCCATATACAATCTAGCAAGATTATAAACCATGTTTTTTTTTTTGTTTTTTTTTTTTACATATGCTTAATTAACTTTTAAAATTACACAATATGGAGTAATAATTTCGATAAACTACCCAAAGAAGCTTTACTGGCGATTAAGTTTTCTATACGTAATTTTTAATAATCACACTCTCAAATCAATAAGTATACTCATATTAATTTCACTATCTCACACACTATTTATAAATTTTAAATAACAATTTCCAATGAGCAATGACAAGTAACACTACAAGCAAATAACTTCCCCAACAACTAAAAAAAATAACACACTTTCCCAATAGCTTATCTAAAATTGTTGAAAATATTCTTAAAAGGGCTAAAACATGTATATATGCTGGCGAATCCAGCTTCTTACACGCAAAAGATAAAATACTCTTTAAAGTAAAAGGAACAAAACTCCACTAACTAACCAATTTAACCAACTTTTGAAAACTTCATGCATGCAACTCGCCCACGCAAATTGTAGCAATGCAAACCCAACATAATAACCTAAAATTCTAAACCTATATCGTAATTACCATAGAAAGTGAAGGATATTTTAGGTGGTTAGAATTTTCATCTCGTTTCTAGGGAATATTGGGATCAACTCTCATCAAATCACTCGCCTTAATGGTTCTCTAAACACCAAAAAAAAAAAAAAAAAAAAAAAAAGTCGTGCTTACATTAACATACATATATCAACGAATTTTAATTATTTGCTCGTACGTGATCGATAAATCATGCATAATCAAATAATTGAAGAAGTGTTTTTCGATTTTCAAATGCTCTATTATTCATTAAATGCTTACGCTTGTATTTAGACTAAACAAGTCTTAGTTATATAGTACATAGCACTTGGATCAACTCATCATTTTACATCCCTATCTAGTTGTAGAGTATCTAGATTATATTCTAATACACAATGCGATCTTATTCATTATTTTTCATTTATTCATTTGAATTCCAACCATGGCATAGATATTGTCTTGTTATTAATTATAATAATTATTGTGATAAGAACGATTGGTATACTTTTTTGCAATAATATGACGTGGTATAATAATTAGAAAACTTAATCACATGGATTATGTACTCTTTCTTTTGTGCGTGCTTTCATAAGATGGGGATATTTAATTTGATGCTTAAGTTTGAATTGATGTTTGTGAAAGACTGAAAGGTGACAAATAACTAAACATATATTATTAATCATGATGCATGGTTGAGAGGTTTTCAAGGACCATCAAAAAGTCAAGACAGAAATTAAAGGACATGAAAATGGACCACTTTGTGCGTGCCTATTAATCCAATTATTCATATGTTGTGTGATAATATAGCTTAATTAGTGTATTGTAGATTAAATTATAATAGACATAACATAGCATAGTACAATGCTATATGTGTGTATTGTGATACCTATTTATTCCAACATAATTTGGATATGATCATATAAAAAAATTTGTACTAAGGATGTAAGAGATTAGTGAATGAAGCGACAATATTGTTGAGTATGGGGGTATACATTTAAAAAAAAAAATGTCTCAAAATGGAAAGCGAGTACTTAAATAAATAAATAAAACATGGGGTACAAAAGATGCAAGAACAACCTGCATAATTTTACGCTTGTTACTCTAATTATCATAGGGGTAATGTAACATACATGAAAACCATTACAGCAAAAGTGTGGTTGATAAACAAAAGTGGGGTACTGGGGTCGAATTAGAGTGAAAAGAATTTCACATCATATCTCATTTTCAATGTTGGGTTATTATTATTATATGAAATCTTAAGCTTCATACTACGATAGTATTCAGCTTATGAATTGCTAACCGCAAAGAGCACAGCACCCATATTATAAGACATTGAAAAAATATAATCTAATATATAGAAATATATCACAGCTGACAGCAACAACGGCTACAGCCTGCAGGGCAGTCTAATTTTCTAAGCAAAACTTAAGCATCTAGAGAAGCTTTCTTATGGCTACAACACTAACAGCGATACATATAATACATTGATCTACACAGTAAAAGCATAACATAGCACGGTATACTACAAAATATTTTGTACAATACGCCTACAGAAACGACTTTATCTAATAATATCTAGGAAAACAAGATTATACTAATAAGGACTAGTAAATCTGAAGGAGACACAAGAGACAGCAGACAGGCGTTTATGATTGACTTCCTTGATGATCTCCTTAAAAAGGAGCAAACAATAAAGTGCTCCAAGCAGCCAAGCCATGCATCATAATTTCTCATGTGCGAAAAACCTGTAACTATCTCACTGAAGCTTCCCATGCAACTGTGTGCTTTCTTTCTCCGCAGTGAATGTTGGAAATGATGATATGGACCGGAGAATCAGCTTCCTACAGCTCCTCCAAGCAGGAGATGTTTCAAAGTCACAGTGAGGATAAGAAATTCTTTTACAATTAGGAGATGCAGACTTAACACAAGTAGTAGGAAGCGAATATTCACCCGTCAATGCTTCAGAGGCATCATCTTCTTGAGCTCCTATCTTGATATCTTCCTCAAAGGCTGCTTGATCTGGATTGTCAAAATTCTGGATGTGCATGATTGAAGGAAAGGCCCACTAGAAAGCGAAGAGAAACGTGGGACCATTTTACCAAAGTGAAAAGGCTGTCGCACAGGTTGCCTGGTCACAGAAAAGTTCAGTGGATTGAAATTATTCTAAAGATATGTGAGTGACAGGGAAAAAAAATTAATCTTCTATAGTTCTAAAAGGCAGCCAAAATATTAAATTCAGTACCTTGCATTCATTGAAGGCTCTGGTGTTTCTTGATCATGATCCTCCTCATTCGTTATGGGAAGATCATTAAGCGAACTTACATCTGATGCATTCCTTTGGAGGAATCTTGTTTCTTGATATAAAATAATTTCAGTTCCTAAAAAGTAGTAATCAAGAAATTTGTTACAATTTATGAGCAAAGCATTGAATTTGAGGCAGCAAAGACAACATTTTGCTGTTACCGTTACAACCAAGGAACTGTCGTGCGAGTTTATGATGAGCTTTTTAAAGTGCAGGGAAATCTTTATAAAACGATTTAGGAAGAACACATGCAGCACTGAAGTCAGTATAAATTTGCTTGTTGAAAATAAAAGTTAGACTAAACCCCTAATTCTTTTGAGTCTTGAACTTATCTTCCTTTTTAGCCTTAACTACCTGACTAATCCCTAAATGGAACTTATCTGCTTAGGAAAATGCAATCTGCTATTGAAGAAGAAAGATCCTTCCAAAGTCCAAACTCACACCACACTTTTCTAAGATATGATCTTCATATTCCTATATTGAAATTATATGAAATCAATATCCCTGAACTTGTATAGATCTATTAGTCCAAATACTCCAGAACTCAACTTAGCTAAAATCATTACTGAATGGGACAACCTGAACCTATCTGATTATTCCATATATTAGACATAAAACTTGTTTAAATAAGCCTACAAACTTAGATAGCAACTTACCTTCCTTTCGACCAAACGTGTTCTTACATCCTTCACATCTGCAGCCGAATGAACATCCAACACCACCCTTGAAAACATATAACCCAATACCCTCATCAGCTCTTTTAAACAGCAAGAATAGTAGTGACTAAGGAGAATGATGAGAGAACAAACCTGGAAGCATTCACAGTATTTCTTCAGACAACCAGACTTTTTACAGTTACACCCTCTTTTATGTCTAGCTGAAGCTGGAGTTTTGATCAACTCTTCCTACGGTGAGAAGACAAGTCAGAAATTCATTACATAACATATTTTTGTGGAATCACTGAAACAAAAAGTTGGTAAAGCATCTTACCTCATTGTTTGGAGTACCAGAACACCTAATCACTTTAGGAGCAAATGCAAGAGGATTGCGTGATTCAATCTGTCGACGAGTTTCAAGCACAGTTTCCTCATGAACAGGCTTATTAAAGCAATCCTGGCAATTGCAAGGCTCAACACAGTATAAGCCAGCCGCAAAACACTCACAGTAGCTGTGTCAAGGAATTAGCAACTGAGGAAATCAGTATATCCAGAAAGAAAGTTGAAATGCTCAAAACCCAACAAGCAAGGAAAACCGATTGCCAATTTACAAATTTACCTTCAAAGACACTCTGTTTTTATATAGCTGAATTTGTTCAGTATTTATTATATGGTGAACAGTGGGCACAACACTAAAAAGGGTTTTCAAATATCCATTTCTTTCCCTCACTAAATATTTATCCAATGTCAAGTAATGACTATGTCCCATCTATATTTAGCATTTGATAATTATGCGTAGTATTACAAAATAAATAAACAAGAAGAATGTATATAAAGTTATAGGAATCTATCTCTGTACTCACAGCTTCAAGCATTTTGACCTCTTACAATTACAACGCTTGCAAGAATCAGCTTCTCCTATGATTTCAGCCTTCCGCCTGTAAAATTTGAAACACAAAATTAAACTGATGACAATACTAGCAACTCTTTTTAGCAGCATTTAGCTTTGAAGGTAATGGGCAAGTGCCACAGGTAACTACATTTATATGTTTAAATCTTAATACGAAACAATGAGGGAAAACACACATCACAAAAGAAGTATATACCGTTTCTTCTTGAAAGAATTCTGAGGAAACTCAATACCCTCACCATATATTGAGTTCTCAGACACATCTCCAGACACCTGAACTTCTTCTTTTTGTTCTTCAGGTTCTCTTTTCACTACATTTGGAGTTGGATTTATTTGGGTGGTGATGGGTTTTGTATCAGAATTAAGAGACCCGATAGCAGAGGTGGTGCATTGGGAGCTTATTAATTGCCTTCTACAAGTCAAAGTCTGTCTCTTGACAATTATTTTATCTTTAGCACCAGCAGTTAGAGTATTCAAATGCAAACCAATACCAGGGAGTGCTGATGAAAATTTATTGCCCCCTGGTCTGCTGACCATCAGACACTTATCATTTAAGATGCTAGAACTAGCAGCCGGTTTGGTTGGAGAATTGCCTGTTGAATCAGCTAACAGTTTCCTGTAATGAGATCCAGGCATCTCATATACTAGGCAACGCCTTCTTGTTGTTTGCTGCTGTTGTGAACCAGACTTGAGACCCAAAAAAAAAAAACATAAATTATACTAGTATTATTATTGGAATAGATCAAAGCAACAAATGAGGAAAAATTAAAGGAAAAAAAATACCCCGCAATAGGCATAAGAATGGATAATGGAATAGTAAACAATAATACTTCGTATAAGACACATGCTAGAAAAAGATAAATTAAATTTGCCAATTGCTAGAAAATGGATCCCTTAAGGTCAGAAACATCTGAAGACATGGAACAATGTATAACATTAAAGACAAAAGTTAATAGTAAAGAATAAGAAGGGTTATGCAAAAATACTAGTCTACAGCCAAACACAGATGTGGTATTTTAGCAGTTGCCTGGATTTGTTCTATGGCTTGAGAGGCAAGATAGAGGCTGACTATACAAGTTCGTTCATCTATTAACTAGACTATGTAGTCTTGTAAAGTTATGAATCAATGCAGATTATTACATGTCTCCTCCATTCCACTTGTTGAACTGTATATGTTAGTGTAATTAGTTCCCCAGCCAGTACCCAAGTCCACTAAGAAAAGAGTACAAAGCTTAGTACCAGAAAAATTTAAAGTTAAATAAAATTATGCTTCCCTGCATATCAATGCACTGGTTTAAGACATCATATATTAAAACTTGAAAAAGTGCAAAACAAAGAGATGGCCGCTGCTTAAGAGAAGTTATACCTTGTCACCAATTTCAGTCCTTGAATAATGGACAACTTCCTCAGCAAGTACAGAAGCATCACCAGTAGTAACTTGGTTTCTTTCATTCAAATTTCCCATTTCTCCTTGTTTATTCATAGGAACATCCATGTGACGGTTTTCAGATATAATATGACAGTCAGGGTCCAATTTCGGTGGATCATTAATATGTTCACTTGGGGGCTGCAAAACTGTTGCAACAAAAGACAGCATCCCCGAATCTGTATTTCTATCATCTGACCCATCTTGATAATTTTCCTCTGTAGGTGAATGGTAGTTTGACATATCAGAAGCTTCACAAACAAACTTCTCCCACTCACATACTTCCTTATTCTGTGCCATTGGATTTGCCAGCAGTCCCATTTCATTTCCAAATGAACAGTCTGCTTCTTTAGAATTATCTTGTTTGACTTTAGCAGGGAATAATTCTGTTCCAGCTACATTAAACTCACTATGTGTCTTCACAACATCACTGTTGACCACATTATTCTCAGGAGAATTGCATTCATATTTCATGGATCTCGGAATCCCAGAGACCAGCTTTGAGGATTCATCAGCTGTGCTGACAGTCACCGAACTGTCGATTTTGTCCACCTTTTCAGTATGCAAATCAGTTGGCTCTATTGCAGATGAGGCCTCTGCATTTTTACCTTCACTGCCATTCTGAGAGAAGTTATTCTTAGGTACTTCAGAAACATGAAGTGGCCTGAGATGAAGGAAATAAAACTGTAAATACACCAATCTTGTATGTACACAGTACAGGTTATTTATCAATTAGAGGAAGCATATGTAATCACCTTGGAAACTTAGGTTCCCTTGGACAAGTTGGAGGCGTCTTAAAGGCTTGAGGAGAAGAAAAATTAAGAAGGTGAAATGGCTGTGTGCTGTGACCCAAGCTAAATGGTTTGATAGGTGACAGAGTGCTGATGTAATTAAAGACTGGAGAATCCTGCAGATGAATATAATTTGTAAGCAGCCCATATTTGAAATTTACAGTACGATGCAAAGATATAATATGTGTACAATGCAAATATATAATATGTGAGCTTCAATGAACCATCAGATATGAGAAAACTCAGACTCTCCTAGATCATGATGACTGGAAAAAAAAAAGTGCATGCAAGTCAGCAGCAACATATTAGACCTAAGAGTTGACCAGATACGGAGCCGAACCTTAAGTTACTCAACCTAAACAGTCTAACTAACCATTTTGCCAGATCTCAAATATAAATATAAGTATATAGCCCAATGCTCTAAAGAGGATGCTTCCCAAGGCTGCACGATGGAATCAAGGAGAACAAGAGGTTTTTTTTTAAATTCCTTGATCTGGAGCACAAAGGCCACAAACTAACAACTGCTACTTGACAATAAGTAAAAAGTCTGATGAGCGAATTTTATTTCATTCATATTAGAGCAAATGAAGTATCATAATCTTTTCTTTGCAGAAATGAATGAAAAGGGGGAAAAAGATTCTAATGAAATTGCCCAAATTTCCTACAAGCATCAGTTTTAAGGAATCTATATAGTGAATAAACTCTGACTACACTACAGTAATTCCAAACTGATGGCAGAATAATACTATGTGGAAACTTGGCACAAAATAGACAAGCACCTGAAACCTCCGACAAGCCTACAACACGGAGACCAAAATCACCAACCTCAGACCTCTGACTTTTCAAAGTAAAACAGTTAAATATGGCAAACAAGGCTTGACTTGTACACTACATACCAAATATTTCTCATCTTTATCAAATATTGCATCAGAAATTCTTTTCTTTTGTCAATAAGCATTGATCTACATTTCCAGTACAAACATTTACTCAACTTTTTTATCTTACCTTTGTCATCATAAACAGCATTATCTCACAATCATTCCAGCTCACAATTATCATTATCACTCTTATGTCTTATATAGGGGCATTTCGATCATTTTATTTACCCTTCATAATTTCTCTGAGAAAATCTTAAACACCATTCAAGTAATTTCAAACTTTAACCCCTTTATGTTACCCACTTATGACATTAAACATGATTAACTAAAATTAACAAATTCAAACTCATTTATAACCAACTACATTTGAAATTAAAGTTTATTTGGTGTTTTCCTTAGTTTATTAAAAAGTAAAAAAATAAATAAAAATTAATTGGTACCGATGCATAATAAGTAGTCTGATTTTAAAAGATCAAATTAAAGGTGTAAGAAGTAATAAGTGTCATTATGTCCTGTTTGAAACTTCAATAATTGACAAAGCACACCAACTATGATGAGTACCCTTGGAGATTAATCTACCTAAAGGTGCTACAGTAAACCTTTTCTTCAGCTGTAAAGCATACAATATCATATGATCATAATTGAATAAAACATAGTATAGCACATTACACTGGAGTAATAAACTATCAAAATAACCATAGAATAAATTTATGGCCTAGTCCGGTCATTGTAAGGCACACAGTAACAGAATTTGTGGCTTATCATGATTGTCTTTAGCTTTTATGTTTCCTGCCTACCATTCAAATATTAAATCTTAACAAACGCTTTTACGTTGACATTGGAGTGCATATGATAAGAGAATTACACGTGATATCCTCCGACATGACGGGCTAGGACCACACAGATTATTTCTTATTCGGACCCTTTTAGGGAAGACAGAAATTAAAGCAGATGTGCAAATCAGTTGCCTATAATGAATCACTCCAATGTTCTTATCAATATAATCCGTATATATGGATAAAGTAATAACAACACATGCCAAAGACTCTTACTGTACTTCATAGTCCATGGAAAATCTCATTAGAAAAGAGCATAAAACTAAGATTAAAACAACATTAACAAAATTCCCCTTCAATTGACAGCAAAACTCATTTTTTTTCATTAAAACTCAGTCATCTAGCTCAATTAATAACAATACAGAGTAATTCTTTCCTCACCACACATTATGCAACATCTTATCCACAAATCAAAAGCACCCATCAGAATTTACCACCAGTTAATTCCACAAGTACCCTTTTGCGACGAAAAGACTTTCCGAAAATTTTCTTGTCACACTTAACACAGCCAATTTGAGAATTGAATACATTATTGAAATCATTATACAATTTTATTTTATTTTTTTTAAAAAAAAAAAATGAATACAGATTTTTATTATCCATTTGGAAAAAGGATTAAAATTTTGAAAAAATTATTTTAGTAGATAAAATCAAATTGTATTGTATCCATTATAAAATATTTGGAATAGGAGACAAACAAAACATTATTAATATTAAAAAAAATTGCCCGACAAATGTTTCATTTTCCTTGCATTTTACGGCCTGTCAATTTAAGAATAAGGAACTTGACTTAATGATTTGGGACAGGAACATGGCCAAAGGTGACCAATCCTAGGCCACCTCAGCCAATGTCCGCTAAAAAAATACTTTCCAATTTCATAAATAATTTTTAATAATTACAATTACATATGAAAATTGCTTAAATTTTCACATATAATAACATTCTCAATCCTAATAATCGATTAATTTCCCTTTTAACTCCTTCAATCAACCCTAGAAAATTGCAGAAAATACAAACCCTTCAAAAAAAAATTAAATTTAACCCACACTATAATTTTACATGCAGATCTAACACCCAGTTAAGAACCAACAACAAATTCATACATAACATGATTTTTTTTCCTAACAACCACATAAAACTCGAAACAACAAGGTCAGACTACATGAACCAAGAATTTATCTATCGTACGACCACAAAAATCATATAAAATTTCCCAATAATTCCAAAAAATAAATAATGGGTAATTTAATTCATGCAACAAAAAACAAAACCCAGAAATTATAAACAATAAATTTACAGTAACAAATATAAAAATCATAAAAATACCTCAAATTTGGACAGAAATGAAGAAGGACTGGGTTGAGCAGTTGACTTATCAGGTGTATCCATGGTAGTAAAATGAAGAAGAGCACTCAAAGCTCTTCAACATTCTTCTCACTTTCTATCTCTTCAAGTTTCTCTCTCTAAATTATCTACCAAAGTAAAAAATAAAAAATACTCAGCCCCAAATTCATGGAATTTATTTTACTTTTATTTTTTTTATTGGGTTGAAATAATATTTTAATTAGGTTTTTGAGTGGAAAGGCGGGAAAATATTTTGGGTAGGTGTCGACATAATATAGAAGAAATGTGGGTCCAAAAAACACTTGTCTTTATTTTTTCTTTTTTTTTTTTTTTTTTTTTTTTTTTGTGGGATTTGGGAGTTTGAGTGACAGGTTGGTAGCAGTTACTGACTCACTGACAGTCAGAAATTTTGTGAGGAAGAAAAACTGTTTGCTTTAGGTCAGAGACAATGTATAAATATACTTTATATTATACGGTTATAATTTTTGTCTGATTGAAAAAATTAAAAATTGGGTGTCTGAATGTTTGGATTGTGTTTGTGTGTATGACAAATTAGGAAATTGTGATCATGTTGGAGATGAGTATATTTTATAATAGGTAAGGAATGATTTGGGAATATTATGTCATAATTTTATGTACGATTTATCTGGATTGGAATTTGGCCCAATTTGCTTGTTTAGGTACTAGATTGAGTTTTTTTTAATGAGATTATATTGTATTCGTACATTGAATATTGTTAATTGATGAGTTTTCGGGTTTTCAATAATTGTGGTAGATGTTTTCACAACATAATTTTAAAAGTGGTAATGTTATTGTTAGAGCTTATATCAAACTGGTTTAAACGTATATACAATTCAATCCAAAACTTGATTGGTTGAATGTAATAACACAACACCAAAACGTTATCGCAGCATATTCTGTTGCTGGAGGTTTTTATTGGATATATGACAACAATGTCTCTGCCAATCCAATGACAATGAAAATCCAATGACAATGGAAACAAGCTACGAGTAAATTTTAAAGGGTTTTGATGCTATTAGTTTTTTTTTTTCACAATTTTCAAAACGCGTCTTAAAATATATATTATCTTCAATTTTTTTTTGACAAGTATATTATCTTCATTTTCATACACTTAAAAAAGTATAAAAACGTGATGTTAATAAAATATATAATAAGATAAATCTAATAAAATCATACATGACTAGTCTTTTATAGATTAATGGTAATTTATGATTAAAATTTTTAAATTTTGACTCAAATAATGACAGTGAAGCAAAAATAAAGCGACGGAGTATTAGACAATGCTATTAAAGGTCTTTTATCTTAAGGGTCATTATAGGATTTAATAAGGTAGCCCAAAAATCTTAGAGCAAATAAAGATCTGTCAAGGGTATGGGTTCCTCCCTTTTAATGTTCTTGTGTAGCTAGTTACTTAGAGTTCAGAAAATGCATGGCACAAAACTAAACTGCTAATTATATAATTTTCTATCTATTGATATATTTCTCTCTGCAATTTTCTTTTCATGTTCTCTCTTTTGAGTGCTTACATACTTCTCACTTTTTGTACTACTATGACTATTTGGAGTTCACCTTATTTTGTCTATCTAATTTTATTTGATTAAATTTTAACCTTAACTAGTTATTGGTTCGGACGATGCCCCGGATCACTAGTTATAAATTTGTAAGTTTTTGGAATACTTTGTATAATTGCTTGACTAGTATTGAATCTAAAAAATTAGCATCCAGGTAATCAACAACCATCAGTGTGTGATTGATGTCTTACAAAGTAAATTGTATATATATTATTGTGCAATTATTTAGGAGTCACATTGTATGGCAAAATTAAATCCAAAGGTCACACATATAAAGAGTTTTAGGGTAATGAATAATGACCACATAAGGTGACACATAGTGCTCATGTGGCGCCAAGTCATATGGAAGGAACGGTGACACATAGCGGTAGCATGTTGTCCCTTTGAGTTTTAATAATATTATAAATTGTACACTAACTTATAAGGAAAAATATATCACAGGGGCAGTCTTATTAGATTTGTGTTAATATTATGTATTTTATTAATATGAATTTTCATAAATTTTTATTACGGAATTAAAATATTTAGTGTTAAAAATCGCACATAAAACAATGGAAATTTTGTCAACAACTACCTATTTAAGTCTCTGTTTTGAAAACAATTACCTTTTAAATTTTTTTTAAAAACAACTACCACAAACTTGTAAAAAGTTAGAGTAGCACTACCACTTTTAAAATTTCGGCAAGAATATCCGTTGAGTGGGGCCCACATTCGTCCTTTTCCTCCAATTTTTGACTTGGACTTGAACCCTAATTTTAAAATTTATGTATATTATGAATTGGACATGATTTAATTCGCAAATACATGGATAAAAACCAATTAATAAACCCTAATGTGAATAAATCCGTTCAATTTACCCAAAAAAGCAAAAATAATTTTGAAACCCTAATTTCCCCAATTTCCCCAATTACGAACCCAAATTAGCAAATAAAACTATGAAATTACTTGATTTGATGTTCTTGCTGGAATTTGGGCATATAAAACTATGTCAAAAATTGGAGGGAAAGGACGAATGTGGGCCCACTCACGGAGATTCATGCCGGAATTTTAAAAGTGGTAGTGCTACTCTTACTTTTTACAAGTTTGTGATAGTTATTTTAAAAAAAAAATTTATAAGGTAGTTGTTTTCAAAACAGAGACTTAAATAAGTAGTTGTTGACAAAATTTCCTAAAACAATTAAGTAAGTTCATCACAACTTTTTTTTTTTCTAATTTGGTTTATTTTGAACTTATTTTTTCAGATGTGACCTTAAATAAGTCATAAGGGTATGAAATAAGATGAAAGCATATCAAGAGTGATTACTCTTATAATTATGTTGGGGGGTTTCATTCTTATCGGTGCATATAATTAGGTAATTTAATTTCTTCAAACCCAACATATACATACTTAGTTTATATTAAGTGTTTGCTTAGTTTACCTTATTTTTACTTATCTAAACTAATCTGATCTGGTCAGATCTGATATGATCTTATTTGATCTGATCTGATTGTCTTATTTTACCAAACTTTGACCTTAAGTGTACGATAATCTATAAGGAAAAAAAATATATCAAGTGTGGTCTTGTTAGATTCGTATTAATGTACGTGTATTTTATTAATATGTAATTTTCATAATTTTTTCATTACGAAATTGTAGATATGTAGCGATAAAAAATTACACATAAAACAATTATCTGATCTGAACTTATTTTTTCTGATCTTATCTGATCTAAAGTTATTTTTTTCTAAAATAAGTAAAAATAAGTTGAGATAAACAAGGCCTATACATACATAAATAAAATTAAGTAAAATAAATCTTAGCCTGTTATGTTGAATCTTATAACTTAGGGGCGTTTGGTACGAGGGATCGATATATATAGATAATGAGGGGATAAGAAGTGGGATAATTATAGAGAATTAATAGGTGGGATAAAGATAAAAATGATGTTATCCCTCATTTGGTAATTGGTAGGGGTGGGACTTTTCAAACTGAACCGTGAAACCGCCCATTACCGAATCGAATCATCACGGACCGATCCGTTTATAAACCGATAAATTTAAATCGAAAACCGAATAGAACCGTACAATATCAAACCGAAACCGAATCGAACCGCTCAATGTCAACCCGTTACAGACCGTAAACTGATAACAAACCAAACTGCTCAAAACCAAACCGAAACGAAACCGAACCGAATGATTTATAAAACCCGTTAATGACCCGAACCGTTTATAAACTGAAACCGTTTAAACCGTAAAAAAAATTTGTTTAAACCAAACCATTTGTAACCCGCTAACCGTTTAAACTGACCCGTTTATGAACCGAAACTGTTTAAACCGCAGGAAAACCATTTACACCGAACCGTTACAATCCGCTTATCGTCTAAACCGAACTGCCATGACCCGTTAAACCGTAAAAATCGAACTGTTTTCGAATTGCAACCTGTTTAATTCAAATTAAATTATTTACAACCTAAATACAATTAATGTTAATAAATGTAGGTCTAATCAAACGGCTTAGGTTTATACAACAGTTTACATCACCTAGTCCAACGACATCATTAATGTCGTTTTAGATTACTTATTTATTTTAGTTAATATCAAATGTAACATACTAGTATTATTATATATATACTTTAATTTAACAACAGTAACAATAAATATAAATTTAAAATAAATACAATTAACGTTAATAAATGTAGATCTAATCAAACGGCTTAGGTTTATACAACGGTTTATATCACCTAGGCCAACGACATTATTAATGTGAATAATGTCGTTTTAGATTACTTATTTATTTTAATTAATATCAAATGTAACATACTAGTATTATTATATATATACTTTAATTTAACAAAGGTAACAATAAATATAAATTTAAAATTAATAACTTTAATTATTCCAAAAAAATACATTTTATCTACATTTTACATTAAAAATAAATAAATTAAGGATTTACATTTTACATATGATCATAAATTAATAAATTATCCTAATAACAAAATTTAACCTAAAAAACATTCCTAAAAAACAATAGGCAGCAAAAATCTTGAAGCAGTAGCACATCACCCAAGAGTAGAAGAAATAGCAGCAACAAGCAGGAACCAGCTCAGGCAACACAACAGATCAGCAACTGAAGGGACTCAGCAGGAACAACAACCAAAAGCAGATAAGTAGCTCACAAAACATCAGTTCAACCAACTTCAGAACTAATTTTTGTTTTTAAAAATTGCTCTCAGATTTACGTTTATCATATCATCATTGAGCAATGGCAGTTTTAACTTAAAACTTGAAAAATGCTGCCAGCAAGTATATATACATTGAAGTCTCAACATAAATGACAAGGGCAACGATGATTCAAGATAAATTAAAACAAGCATAAGAAACAGCAGCAACAAAACTTATCATAAGTTCATAACACAAAAGGCAGCAACAATATTGAAGCAGCAACACAGCACCTCAAGCTTGCAGGAGGCAGGAACCAGCTCAGGCAGCAACAGATCAGCAGCTTAGTAGAAACAGGCAACAATATAGATAGAAGCAACTCAGTAGGGACAACAACCAAAAGGCAAAAGCAGATTAGCAGCTCACAAAACAAGTTCAACCAACTTCGGAACTAATTTTTTTTTTAAGATTGCTCTCAGATTTACGTTTATCGTATCATCACCGAGCATTTGAGCAATGGTTGTTTTAACTTAAAACTTGAAAAATGCTGCCAGCAAGTCTCAACATAAATGACAAAGGCAACAATTTTAACTTAATTCTTGAAAAATGCTAC